ACTTCACGAGCTCTTTGGCTCTCAAGTGGCATATACTGTGACATGATCGTCATAATCTCCGAGTCCATGTAAGACTGTGTACCATAAACGGCAAAGAAAAAAGTTATAAAATATCCTTAAAAAAACGTTGAATTAAAGAATGGTTTTGTGGAATCAAGAAGACAAGAAGAGTACCCTGAATCGGTATTTGTAAAACAGATAACCAGCTAAACCGGCTACTGCGACAATAGCTAGTATCAAGAGTGTGAGCCACCATGCTGTTTTGGATCCATATCTCTCTGCAATTATAAATGGTTTCAAAGCAATGTAAGTTACTGTTATTGTAATGAAATTATTGGTCTTAATTGATAATTTTGTACCTATACAAGTATCTTGATCGTTTATGTAAAGCCGGTCACCAGAACAACTACATTTGAATCCTCCCCATGAGTTCTTGCATCTGCAACCGCTACATTGACACACCGTACTCTCTTTACATTCGTTGATATCTGCAACAGAGCCAAATCAAAACAAAGGATTAGAGAATTTGCAGATGATTCTGTTTCTACGAGACTAAAATCGATAAGTTACAGAGTTATGACAGGAATCTTGAGAAGCCTTACCTTCACAGGTGTGACCGTCACCATGAAAACCTTCAGGACATTTGCAGCCACTAGACACAGAGTCCTGATTGTTCCACAAGTAATTTGTAAATGAAATGAAACAAGAACTTTGAAAGGAAAGGATTTTGATTTGTAAAAATAGAATCACTAAACTGAGCAAGCAGAGAACGTTAAGCCATTTCTTGTATCAGACCAGCAACCTCCATTGTTAATAGTACACCTCGCAGGCCCATAAGCTGCAAAGCTCAACCACAAACCGGACGTTCAGAGAAAAATCAAGAAACCGGTCTCAAGGGTTATCTTGTGTGAAGTGTGAACAACTTACGTGTACATGAAGTGTACCCATCGCCTTTGTATTGAACACCTTTAACAACCGGACACTCGCAGGTTCTTCCTCTGAATGTGTCCTGATAAAAGAAAAATCAAGACTTTGAGAAACATTTCAAATATAGCGATGAGATTGTGATATGATGAGCTTAGTTTTACTACATACTTTACAAGCTGTTATGTTGGCTCTTGTATCCTGCCAGCAACCACCGTTATTCTCAAGACATTCATTTGTCTCTAGACCTGTGTTTAAGCATATGGGAGGATCAGATGTTTCATTGAATCCAGCGCATATCGCCTTTAGAACAGCGGTTCTCTCCAATCTCCCTTCACAATCACAATCAAATAACAACAGAAACTTCAGTATCTTCAGAAATTTCAGAATCTTGGATTGTTCAAGAAGCAATTCAAACCTCGGTATTGAGCGTCATTGATGACTAATGTTGGCAATATAGTAACATCTCCTCGCCCTCCTCGTCCAATCTTTGAAGTTACATACATTATAGAGTTAGAAACCAAACCTTATGAATCAATCCAATAAGGAAAAGACACAAGAACCGACCTGAACGACTTGCTCTGTTTTCAGAACTTGGTTCTCGGTATCAGCCTCAGGATCACCCATGCATTTCTTGATCTTCTCAACAGGTAAATCTGAGAGAATTCTTGAGGATTTATAACCCGAAATAAATAATGAAAGAAAGACAAAAAGAAGGGCTTTCTCTTCAAAAAAAAAGGACTCTTACTCAGAGATTTGATGACATTTTCAGCACACTCTATGCTATATTTCTTCTCCTTCATAGAACATCGAGCATGAAAATCAGTAACGTAGTCCCACCAAACCCAAGACCTGCTACTCTCATTCGCAACTCTATGCACACAAAGCTGTCTCAGATTCTCGAACACAACATCTTTCCCTTTATACCCTTCTCTGAAATTATGCTCAGGGTCAGGAGCGCAATACCTCCCATGGTTTATACACTGAGACTTACACTGTGGACTGTTGATGAACTGAAACGGGCAGAACCAAGTGATGTAATGCGGCGTAAACGCGGTATAACCGCCTCTCTCGAGTATCTGAGCATGGCCCTTGAAGTTCTTTACGAAATCCATCTGTTCATCGCACCTTGCACCACACTCGTCGTTGCTGTTAGTCCACAGCTCGTACTCCACTCTCTGATCAGGATGAGGCACAGATTCCCTCCAGTCTAGCTTCAAGACTATGTCTTTGCCTTTCTTAAACCCTTGTCGTAAGCTATCTCCGAATGATTTCTCGATTAGAACCGATGGGATTGTTATCTTCTCTATAAACCCATCCGCGTCTCTGCTCTCCTCAGGTGAATCCATCGTCAGCAATGGCTCGTCCACGTTATCAGCGACAAGAACTGCAGCGGCTCCTGCTTGTTGCGCGTTCCATGCCTTTAAGGCAAAGTAGCAACCTGAAACGATCCATTAATGAGACAAAACAAAACATCAACACAGGACCTTCGTTATACATTACAGTCCTATGAATTTAAGATTCTGCAATATACATAACGGATTACAGGGAATTGAGAGAGTTTAAAGTTTAAATATTTTCATTAACAAGATCAAATCTATTTATTTAGCACAACCCATGAGTGTTCTTGACTTCTACAACAAGCATGAGAGAGACTAAAGTTTAAATCTTTGAACTTAAATCCATATTTGCAACACCCACAAGTCAGAACAAATCGGTGTCAATCGGAGTTTCGATCAAGTTTTAGAACAAAGGCATATTCTTTCTAGTTTGTATTGAAAAAAAAACATAGGTTTTGAATTTTTGTTACCTCCACGATCGAGAAGGAGAATAGTGGGACGAGGAAACTTGGGCTTGAAGGTTTTACCAAAAGCAGAGCAACCATCGGTTTTACTATCCGGGTAAACTACTGAACCGACTAGAAACCCGCCATAATCGGGTAACCCGAAATTGGCAATCGAGCCGTCGCGCTTCGACCTCATCTCCTCTGGATTCAGCACCCTTATGTTCTCTTTCTCCACAACGAACCTCGCGTCGACCAAGACCGTGGCGATGATGGTCAACGCGGCGAGGAGAGAGGTCAACGCTCTCCCGTTGACTAGATCCATCTCTGAAAGCACCACCAGTATTGGATTAAACGATTGGTTTTGGTCGATGGATCAACCTTGCTTCGGGCTGTTTTCCCGGGGAAAATGAAGGAGAGAAAAAAAATCAAAAACAGAGGAAAAGAGATAACCGAAGCTTTTGAGTGAAACTGCTTCTAATTGAAGATGGTAGCATATTAGTTTATATGAATATATAAGAAAGAAAAACATTTAATTTTTTTTTTTAATGGAAAAGAATTGGAAGATGTTAGACTTTTGTTAGTTTATGGTTTTTTCCTACATGGTGGATGAAGTAGGAAACTCGATCAAAGCATCTACTTCCAAATTTGAATATTAAACATTGTGTGTGACGACGACAGACAACATCTATTTTTATATAGTTCAAATTTTAAGAAGACAAACTTTGTCTAATGTTATGTTCTAATGGTGACTTACGACACAAGGACAATTATAACACAAACTGCAAAATCAGCATAATAGTTCGCTATCCTCATGTGAATTTTCACATATCAAAAGAATAGTATATGAGTTCAACGATAAATAATGGAATGAATGTATTACTAGATTTTAACTCACACATATGTGCATAGTCAAAAAAAATTAATTTACTAGTATTTTTAGTATTTTATTTTGACGACAAAAGACTAGTATTTTAGTTTATTATTGACTGTCTAAATTTTTTTATACAAAAGGAGTGTTCTACCTATAACTCAAACTATGAATCTCATGATAAAACCTCCCAAACAAACATAATTGATTGCAAAACAACTCTTTTGTTCTATCTAAATCCACACCTACAATCAAAATTTTGAAATAGTAATCAATCATCACAAACCGCATTTAATAAAGAGTAATTGCCCACCGAATTGAAGAATGTATGCTTATATCATTATGTTATAGAAAAATGTTTGTTGGTCACAGTTTAAATTCTAAAAATGTTTGTTGGTTTTTCACATAACTCTTGCTTCTTTGTGGAAAATGACTAAGTACAGACTCAATCAAAGAAACATGTTCTACCTCCATCGTCCAGTGTGGACAGTGACTCACATTTTATCTCCACGGGCGAGTGTGGATAAATAAGTTTGTGATTGCAGCTCACCCATTGAAAACTAACCAGTTTGCAGTAGGTCTCAGTAATGGAGCAGTGAATGTGCTTGAACCTTCGAAATCAAGGACACTTCACATCCTGATGATGCTTAATTAGTCTCTCAAGTTTACTCAAAAATTTTACTTCTCTCAAACTTGCTTTAAGGTGTTATTGAATATACAAACCAAGTAAATCTGATAAAACGGATACTATTATAAATAGAACTAGATCCGTTAATTCAGAGAATACCCATAAACTAGAATTTATGAATATTCTTACAGTAATTTATCAAAACTTCTTTACGAAAACTCTTTTTAATTAATTCATCAAAATCTGAACAATATAATGAATCTAAACAGCTATTTATAATAAATCCTAGAAAACCCTAAAAGTTATATAATAATAATTAAATAACTAATATAAATAAAATATAAATATTTAATAAATATCTGCTGCATCAAAATCTCTGAAAACATCAAATCACAAACTTTCTTTTTCTGCACTACAGTTCTTAAATATCAGTTGTAATCTCAACTTTTGATCCTAAAAATGCATCTTGCTTGACTAGACACAGCAAAAAATTAAACAAAGAAGAAAATAGATCTTGCACTTTTCTTCTATATCCTTAGCTTTCTTCCTACAACTTCATGCTCTTTCATAAGTTTTGTATCAACTTGAAACCAAAATATAAATAGAAAGAATCGATAATGATCAAAAGAGAAGATAGCAGATAAAACCTTACCTCAGTGATAAAGCTCATAAATAAAGCCCAATATCGTCGATGCACCCCATCAGGAAAAAGTCCAAGAGAACTATCTTTCTAGGCGACCCTAAAAAAGGGAAAAGTAGGTTCGAGGGAAGTTGCTAGTCATTGCCTGGCAGGCTCCGCAGGAGGACAGGCAGAGTCTCTAACCATGCATAAGGAAGACTACAATGACACTCTTAAGCACACTCATGCCCATGGAACTGTGAGCTATATTCGATACAATATTTCTTGTCAGAGTGATAGTTCTATGTCTAAGCACAAAATTGATTATTGTTTCTGCATTTTTTTAGGCATGCTTTGAATGTCCGGATATTCATAAAGATGCACAGATGCAGAGAAACAGCTGAGAGTGATGCAACAGATTGATGAAGACCACACACTCACTCAACTCGCGAACGCATGGTTGATCCTGGCAGTAGTATATTGTTATGAATACCCATTCCGTTTTTCTTTTCCATATTAGTGTAGAGATATTGTTAATGTTCCTAATATGGAACTTTTGTATGATCTCAGGGAGGTCCCAAGATACAGGAAGCTTATCTAATCTTGGAGAATTTCTCCGACACGTACCCAATGAAAATCTTGATCCCCAACGGCAAGGCGGTTTGCTCCATGCATATGGGTTATTCTGAGGAAGCTGAAACTCTACTGCTTGAAGCACTCAACAAGGTGAGTCATCACCTACTCTTTTCTTACATCCGAACTTCATCGATGCAATCCATTCTCATTATATCAAGTCATCAGATACGCTCAACTCGCTTTAGCAAACTATATGTCTGCACCTGATACTCTCTTACACCATATCGTTTATAAATGAGTTAGGTACTGAAACATGGATGCTTATGCTCATTGCATGATGCGAAAGACCCAGAAACTCGTGCAAATCTAGTTGTATGCAGTCTTCACTCATCTTCGCGCTACCTAAGGTAATAAAAACTCATGACCCCGTGCAGTTTTGTGCATAACAGTGCATCAGTAAGCTGACATATTCTTCCTCCATTTCCAACCCTTGTTGCAGCCAGCTGAAACTATCACATCCAGTACACCTACTTGTCAAGCGAGCGGAGGATAACTTCGAGAGAGCGCTTCAATCCGAATGCTATATCCAAACAAGTAGAGGCAGAGTTACTCTCACGAGACACGAGCTGTAATCTGACTTTGTGAAACATGTTACTTGATCTATGCATGCATGCGTGGATGAGACACATTACCTAAACTCCCCTTCTTCTCTGATTTTGAATCGAAAGTGTTTGCCTGATGGGTAGACGTATTGTACATTGATGGATGGGCTGTGTAAGGAGGAAATGATAAACAAACAAACTGTGTAAATTCGTGTAAGTAATTTCCAATGAAATTCAAGACTTTTTTTTGGAGTTTTCTAAATAAAGAATCAGAAGTGATTTATATATATGCACATGAAGATCTAAAATTTTCAAACCGGAATTGAATCGGAGATTTTTTCTATAAAAAAAATTGGCGATATCTTCTTAATTACCCAACGTTCTTTAGTACGGTCCATGCATATATATGACATGCAGACACGCAGGGTACGATGATTCACTATATCTTATTTTTAAAACCCGGAAATAAAAACGCTTGATTAAATTTCTATATGATTTGCGAAAAAAATTGGTCAAGTGTGTACAACTTGTACCTGCGTTTGAAGGATCATTCAGAGCGGCTGGTGGACCGGTCACTCTAGACCAACCCCGTCTATAGAAATCATAGGCCATAAGATTTACCCAATCCAAGCTAGCGGCAGCGGCTTGAACCAGGTACAGTATCGAATAATAATTGTTGGAGTAGAAAACAGCAGCCGCCAAAAGCAAACGCTGTCTACCGCTGCTACTAGCTTCTGCCGCAAACGCAGATCGCCATTCTCGAAGTAGCGTCCCCAAATTGCTCATCTCCGTTGCACTGCTTGGATACTCCCAATCAAGATATAGACGAGTCAATGATATCTATAATATCTAGCGAGTCTAATCGAAGAGTCAATGAACGATTTTCAAGAAGTGGGGTTACTCGCCATGTACGCAAACGCCGTTTTGTCAGCGGCTCCACCGCCGATAGACAAAAGGGCTTTAACCAGAAGGGTTTCTCTGTTGGACGGTTTGCGTAAAAGTGGAGAATTTCGGTTGGTTCGCGGAGGAGACAGTGACTTGATTGGTTTGAGAGTTGAGATCAGCGAAAGCGCAGAAAACGTGAGTGAAGAGAGCTGAGTCAATTTCTAGTTCTTTGAAAGTCCTCATCTTAAAAAGATTGATATTTCTAGTCCTACTTGCCAGAATCAAATATTTAACGTCTTATGTAATTCAACTATGAACAAAATATTCGGAAAGCGAAAATCTTGGGACAAAATTTGCGTTTTTTCAACATAATCAATCAACTTCATTTATACCGAAGTTGAATTTTCTACTTACATTTAAGCAATTAGTAAAAAAAAAGAATATTCAAATGCTTAACGAAAGTAGTATTATTAAAATGCAATATATATTATGTGGTTTCTTGTTAGACAAGACTTCAACGAACTGCTGTGAATGGTAGTATGACTCATCGGTTAAGGCGTCTGGTGCTGACAAGTTCAATATCGAAAACGAGGGTTCCAAGAGTAGAACCTTCTCCATTGGCAATACGTGGTGGATTAAAGATAGTCGCGAAGAGTCTCTGTTTGTCAAAAGAACTGCAAAACCCACACAAACACAAGAAAGAAACAAAGATTTTACAAACAATCTTGTGCATATCTGTCTGTGCAAGCAAGCAATCTTATGATCTCTTGATAGTTGATATAGACGTAGTTTCTGAAGAAATCATCTTCAAGCATCGATTACATAATTAGTTCTTTGAAAGTTCTCATCTTAAAAAGATTAATATTTCTAGTCCTACTTGCCAATACAATTAACATGGTGCATTGTAGACTTAATACGCTCCTTTCTTTGGACAAGGCAATACATTAATGATTTTATTGAGAATATGGGTAAATTAATGATGTGACAACTCATACTTTTGAAATCGTTATTTTAAAGAGAAATTGTTAGGAATGGATTCAATTAGTCTCATAATTCAAACAGTTTTTTCATTACACTGTTGTACATAAAAAGATGAATAAGTCCTTCCATCTTATCTAATTACTTTTATCTCACAATTTCTTTCTTTTACTCATTTTTTTCATACACTTTCTATTCACATATATCTAAAATAAAAATAAAAAAAAATCAAAAAGAAAAATAATGTTGATCTTGATTGTTGGTGGCGGTAGTAATGGTGATAGCAATATTGATGATGGTGGTGGCAAGTAGTGGTGATGCCGATGGTGGTCGATGATGGGGATAGTGTTGGTGGTGGTGTTGGTGATGGTCGGTAGTGGTGATGGTGTTGGTGGTGGTGGTGATGGAGTCACTAGTGGTTGTGGTGGTGGTGGTGATGATGGTGTTGGTGGTAATGGTGTTGTCGATAGTGGTGGTGGTCGGTGATGGTGATGGTTGTGGTATTGGTGATGGCGGACCGGTGGTGGTGGAAGTGATGGCGATGCTGGTGGTGGTGGTGGTGTCGATGATGGCGATGGAGTGAAAGATGATGATATCAACGTTAACACGATAGTTAGCATACTCACAATGTTAGTATGATAAGTTTTTGATACAGTAACATTGTTAACATGATAATTTTGCATAACTTATACAGTTAACAAAGTTAACTCCTATTTTTCATGAAATAATAGCAATGTTAACATGATAGTTATCATGTTAACTCGATATTCGTACAATGTGCTAATCGAACAAAGTTAACTCCTATTTTTCATGAAATAATAGCAACATTAACACGATAGTTATCATGTTAACTTGATTTTTGTACAATGTGCTAATCGAGCATCATATTAGTTAGCATGGTTAACACAGTTATCACGATATTATATTAGTTAGCATAATAATCAAATTGTTATCTATCCAAACCATATCAAATAAATAAGGACAAAATAATCATAATTTTTATGTATAATATGTATCGACCTAATTATCAATTATTGGCTCCGAATCTTTTATTTCAATTAACTTGGCCATTATCTCAATTTTCCCTATTTTAAATCTAATAACGAATTTATTTGTGGATTTTTTTTTGTTTGCCACATCAGCATCTAAAATGATAAGTATGAGTTGCGTTTACCACATCAGCATCTAATAACAAATTTATTTGGGTAAATTTTTTTTTGTGTAAGAGGGGAAAAGAATTATAATATAGATAATATATAAAAAATATTATAAAAATTTAATTATTATTTTATATAACTTTTACATTTGCAATTATATGTTACTCTAAACGCTAGATAAAACAAAAAAAATTAAAAGATACAAAATCATTTGAAATATTTGTATGATTGTTGTTAAACACTAAAACTGTATATGTATAAAAACGTAATGCTTACATAATAAATTTTACAAAAACACAAAATGATATGAAATGTTTGTGTGATTGTTGTTAAACACTAAAACTGTATATGTATAAGAACATAATGCTTACATAATATATAAATAATTAACCAATACTTCAATATTACAACTAATTATGTCTATAAAAAGTTATACTTATATATGCGTGCGAACTAACCATAAAAAAATTACATAAATTATTAGATATTTTAATATTTTTAGTTTATTTAGTTATCATATTTACACTTTTTATCTAATGAAGTATCTTAAAAATTTGAGTTAATACTTTTTTATCTTCAATTTTTATTGAAATCTATAACATTTTTAGTTGATTTATTGTTATTTTTATTATTAAATATTTATATAATATTATTATTGATACATAATTAATCATATACAAATAAAATATTTTTTAATATATAATATTAATCATATATTTAACATGTGAAATATTTTATAGCCTACACGGTGCGGAGGTGCGGGTCACGTAGTTGTAGTTAAATATGAATCCATCGTTTAACAACATTGTCCTTGGAGCTGATGGAATGACAAGGCTTTTCTTTCAGCAGCATTGTAGTATCATAGGAGATCAAGTTACATTTGATATTCAGAGGTTTTTCTCTAATGGTATTTTTCCTATGGAATGGAATTATACACATTTGTGCTTGCTTCCTAGAACTGTTAACCCTACGGTGATGAGAAATTTGAGACCTATAAGTCTTTGTTCGGTTCTTTACAAGATTATCTCTAAAGTTTTGGTGAGCCGGCTTAAACCTTTTTTGGTGGATTTGGTGTCTCCTACTCAATCTGCTTTTGTTCCCGAGAGATTGATCACATACAACATCTTAATTGCTCATGAGCTTGTTCATGGTCTTCGTGTGCACCCTTTAATCTCCAAGGAGTTTATGGCTATCAAGTCGGATATATCTAAGGCGTATGACCGTGTTGAATGGAGTTTGTTGAGATCTTTGCTTAAGGCGTTGAGTTTCAATGAGCTTTGGGTGAGTTGGGTCATGTTCTGTGTCTCCTCGGTTACTTATTCTGTTCTTATTAATGATCAAGCTCATGGTTTGATTATTCCGCAAAGAGGTTTAAGACAAGGAGATCCTTTGTCGCCGTTCCTGTTTGTTTTGTGCACTGAAGGTTTGTCTCATCTCCTCAACCAAGCTGAACAAGCAGGCTCTTTAAATGGCATCAGTTTCTCTCCTGCTGGTCCTTCTATTCATCACATACTTTTTGCTGATGACAGCTTGTTTTTGTGTAAGGCAAATGAAGAGCAAGCTATGACTTTACAAGGAATTCTCAAACGATATGGTGATGCAACTGGACAAGTCATAAAACTCGATAAATCTTCAATATCTTTTGGAGATAAAGTTGATCCTATGATCAAGAAGAAGATCAAAGTGACCCTAGGTATTTTCAGTGAAGGAAGAGCTGGAAAATATTTAGGTCTTCCAGAATGTTTCAGTGGATCCAAAGTCCAAATGATGAGTTATTTGAAGGACAGGATGAAAGGTCGATTATCAGGTTGGCATGAAAAAAGTCTTTCTTAAGGAGAAAAAGTTGTCTTGCTCAAATCAGTGGCAATGGCTATGCCTGTGCATGCAATGTCGTGCTTTAAGTTGCCTAAAACTATTTGTGAAAATTTATCTAGTGCGATATCACAATTCTGGTGGAACTCGTCAGATCATTCCCGGAAAATTCATTGGGTTAGTTGGGAGATGATGTGCCTCCCTAAACATCAAGGAGGGCTCGGGTTTCGGGACTTTGAGTGCTTCAATCAGGCTTTTCTAGCAAATCAGGCATGGAGAGTCATCCAGGAGCCTTGTTGTCTTATGTCCCGTCTTTTAAAGAGTAGATATTTCCAAACCTCTTCCTTCCTTGAAGCTCCGATTGGCATTGGATCTTCTTTTGGTTGGCGAAGCATCCTTCATGGTTTAGAGCTTCTTTCGGCAGGTCTAAAACCAATGGTAGGAAATGGCAATACTACTCGTGTTTGGATTGATCATTGGGTGGAAGATAATGGTCTTCGTGTGCCATGGAGGAAACAGAGATTCTTTGATGTGGATCTTTTAGCAAAGTATCTCATTGACTTCCAAAGAAGAGATTGGGATATCCAAAAGCTTAATTTCAATTTTCTTCCTGAAGATGTGCGCAGAATCAGATTGAATAAACCAGTGATTTCGAAAGAAGATTTCAGTGTTTGGAAACATAACAAATCAGGTGATTTCTCTGTCAAATCTGGGTACTGGCTTGCTTGTCAAATTCGCAAAGAACAACAAATTAAAGAAGTGACTATGCTTCCTTTGCTGAATGGCATTAAATCTCAAATCTGGAGTCTCAATACGGAACCTAAGATCCAAACGTTTCTTTGGAAAATGATTTCAGGGGCAGTTCCAGTGGATGAAAGATTGGCAACGAGAGGTGTACGAGTGGATGGGGTTTGTCAAATCTGTGGTGGCGAGGAAGAATCTGTGAATCATGTGTTATTCACTTGTGATTTTGCTAGACAGGTGTGGGCATTATCTAATGTTCCTTCTCGCTTCTCTGGTTTTGATAGCAGGTCAGAATTCACTAATTTTAATCACTTACTGTCCGTTGCTGGAAATCTCAGTGTTCCGTTAATAGTTAGAACTAGCTTTCCCTGGATCTTATGGAATATTTGAAAAAATAGAAACAACGTTCTCTTTAAAGGGAAAGCTTTTTCTGCTTTTGATGTGTGGATCAAAATTCAGGAAGATATCAATTCTTGGTCAATTGCTCAAACAGTTGAAGTTGAAGTTGATAGTTTGCAGGCAATGGAAAGTGAAACTGGTGTGAGATCTTGGAGACCTCCTCCACAATTCTGGTTAAAATGCAATATCGGAGTGTCATGGTCGAAATCAACCAGGATTGGTGGAGCAGCTTGGGTGGTAAGAAATGAGAAAGGTGTTACCCTTTTACATAGCAGAAGATCTTTCGGTGATGTTGGGAGCTTTTTGGATGCAGGTTTAAAAGGCTTCCTTTGGGCAATTGATTGTATGTTTTTCCATAAATTCCTCAACATCCTCTTTGCTCTGGAATTGGGAGAATTAGTAGGTGCAGTTAATAGACCAAAAGCTTGGCCATCTTTTAGTCATCATGCTGCAGAAATTCACCTTGCTCTTAGATCGTTGTTGAAGTGGAAAGTTGAATGGGAGGATCCAATGGCAAACAAAGGAGCTTCTCTCATTGCTCAAAGCATAACTAAGGAAAACAATTGGCAGTCCTATGTGGCTTCCGGGTATCCTTTTTGGTTGTCTTCTGTGTTTGATAAAGAGAGAAGGTAGTCCTATGTTTGTGAGCATTTGTATTTTTTGGGGAAAAAATTTGGGTTTATTGTAGATACATGTTTAGTTAAAAGATGTGTTTGTATCTTGTAATATGGGATTTCTCTGTATGTTTTATTTCTCTTTTTTTTTTGGTGGGAGTGTGAGAGAAAAGTCTCTCACTGTTTTATTACATCCAAAGCAACCATTACAATCGAACACTGCGAGCAGTCGTCACCCCGTTAGCATCATCCGACAGAACCGAACCAATGCTTTTGGGAGCAACCTCCAAATAAAGAAAACCTAAAGGAATAGAGAAAGCATAGTTTGCTAGACTATCAGCTAGCTTGTTTGCTTCTCGATAAACATGTTTCACTCGGACTATCCAGTCCCTGCATAGGAAACCATAGCACAGACGTGCTAGGAACAACAAAGGGTGTTGATCACTAACC